ACGCGGAAAATATACAACTTGTAGTTTGGAAACCTCGAATGCAAGTGTAATGACGGGCCGGATTCAAAATTATCCGGCAAATGTAGTTTTTGAAAACCGAATTATACCCTTTCTTTGAGTAGAAAATTGGAAGACGTCAGTTCCTACCGAGTGAGCAAAAAAATGAATATGTTGGTGCATGTTTTCTATGAAATATAGTTGAATTTTTAAGGGGCATCTAACATCAATGAATAGAAAACATGCTATATGAGTAGTCATTTTTTACAAAGTGTAGTTTTTGCATGCGGCCGGAAAGATGCTTGTCCGAAAGCCAGCATTCCGCGGTAACTGAATTATCGTAGAATTATGTTGCATGATGATTAATTTTAAAAACCCACTTAAGTAATCTTTTCGAAGCGAAGGTACATTTCAGAATTTTGGTTAACATTTAAGGAGTTAGCACACCCACTGTGCATCTTCTATCGTTTCCGCGCGCACTTCTGCTAGGTGTTAAACGAAGGTTTAATGCTACGTCCGCTGCCATGTCAAATCTCACCAGTATTTTCCGACGGGTTGGGAAAGGGAGGAAAGAGCGTGACTGCATTGAGACATGCCCTTGCTCATAACTTCTTGGCACATTCCCCGCTTCTTATAAGTCTGACATGCCTTCAACTCTCATTCCCCGCTAAAAATTGCGGCGTGGAGGGTTTCCAGCTGCCGGAATAGCAAAGTCTGCTTTTAAGCCGGTAGTCTGCCAGCAATACCTCATTTATGCGGTGACTTTTGTTGCAAATCTCATACCCGTCTAGTAACTGAGCTCATACGACCCGCGGGAGACGACTGATATGTGCCATGTCCATCACTTCACCCTATTCCTTCCCCAGTGAGACAACTCGATTAGGCCTCCGAGAGAGACTGCGGTAAATGCACCTGAGAGTCCGCCCTTAATTTGTCTGTCGAGGTGTAGCGTCTACAACGTGGTATTCCACTAAATCTGACGACCAGGCCTTTTATTTGGAAAGCCTCCTGGTGGCCAACCTCGCGTCTTAACATTCGGTGACCCCGACGTTGCTTGCTCGTGCGACTTTTTGACTTCAAAAGCCCACCATAAGCGAATGAATATGCTAACGAACGTACAAGAAGTCGTCCTAGAGTAGCGCCGCACCCTCAGTGGTGCCTTTTTACAGCAGCCTTCTTGGATAACAGGCATGAAGTCAGAATGATATTACCGACAAAGACAAGGGAGACTGGAATGGCCATTTCTGGCTTATTAGCCGTCGTCAGCCAGCCATACCCAAGCCCAAAGTGTGGGACACCCGAGCCTCGAACTCGCGACCTGCTGGTTTAGAAGTCAACGCCTCTACTCACCGGGCCACGAGCCCGTTGCCTTCTCGGTTTTCGATAGGGAATATACAATGTTAGGGGGCGCTCACCGATCGTTCATACGGAACTCACTCGTTCCGTTGTGCCTTAAGGACTCTCTCTCGAGCCCAACCAGCAGCCGCACAGCGGCGCATGATATATAGGCAGAATGATATTACCGACAAAGACAAGGGAGACTGGAATGAAGTCATTTCTTAGTATAAGGGTTCATGCGGAGGTGGGGACCAGTTCGTGTTTGGCATTTGCTGAGGAGTCAGTCAGTTTTCTTGGTCACTGCAGTGCCTCCATTTCGAATCGTATTATTTCTAACTTACTAGTTGCATTTGAAGGACAAATAAGAAGAAAATAATACATATGTTTCGCAAACTTGTGAAATTACAATCGACTGCCTAAGTCACTATTGCAATCTCAAGCCAGTGAAAGTTCTTATCGCCTGCGATGGATAAAATATCAATTGAGCTGTGGACTATCAGTCAGTGAAAACCCGATTAACATCCCAGGTCTTCTCAAATTGATGTCGAGGTATGATCGTCCCCCGCTGAGAGGTACATCGAAAATCTTATTTGAAATATCAGAATGCGCAGTCGATGAATTGTTTACCGAATTTTGAATTTATTTTCCTTTCTCAAAGGTTGCCTAAGTGAAGTTCCTATGTTAATTAACGCGTCGCAGGGTACCGAGATATTCAGGTCACGTAAGAATGCCGGCTTTTGAACGAGCTCCTTATCGACCGCCTGCATAAGCTGAATTCCGCGGAAAATGGTTAACTAGGTAGCATGAATTTTCCCCATCGATTTTCTGTGCCCGTATAAACTCAAGTATATTTTGCAGAAAGCACGAACATTATGCCCTTTCTTTTACTCATTTAAAAGCAAATAAGGTCCTCTTCACATTTTATACTTGAATAATGATTATGTGGCAGTTTTAAATATATCTAATTATAAGATTTTTCAGGAGTGTCAACGTCCAATAACACAGCATCGCACCAGCATATTTGTCAATGCTACCTATAAAGTGGACAACGTAGGCCACATCCATTGCAATATTTTATAAGCCCTGAATGTCCTCTTCATAATAGCACGTCGAAATGTGCGATTTTTCTCACACAAAAGTATGCAGCTTACAGATCGCAATTCCTGAATTCAAGAGTAACGACAGGTCAGTTTCAGAATTTTCCGGGCATTGAGAAAGTTCTTTAAAACCGCAAGACACTCTTTCTTCGAGTATAAAATTTGAAGAAGACGTGTTTTTCGACCAAACAAGCAAATGAGCATATATTTCTAGCTTATTATTTTTGTTATATTTGTTATATATTTATTATATATTGGAAGGTAGGCATCCCAAGAAATATAATTTGAAGGCAGAGGCGTTCTTTGGGAAAAGGTACTTTATTGCGTGAATTTTCGACGCCGGTTCCCCAGGTCGTCGTCAGACGCAGACTGAAAGTAAATGTGCCGAAAACATCTGTTATATATATATATATTTGTTATATATTATGTTATATTTAAATTTTTAAGGGTGACAAAAATTAATGGAAATAATTGGTGTTACTTAAGTAGTTGTCTTTGCGAATTTGAATTTTTGCAGGAGGTCAGTGAGGATCCCATTCAAAAGTGAATGGAATATGCTAACATTATGCGGAACAATAATTGATATGACAACCCTACTTAAGTAATCTTTCCTAATTGAAAGCACATTCCGGAATTTCAGTCACCATTTCCCAAGATAGATGCCATGGAGTATTTGAGAAAGACTAGACCCCGTTCAGCAAAGCAAGCTCGGCCTGCTTAGTCCATTCTACGATTCTAGTTTCAGGTAGCCCTTATTTTCATTCGACGCCGACATTTTTTTACTAATGATTGGTTAGAAAGTTCCACAGAAAACATACTTCGCACACAAAATGACATTTTCCGGAGGGGCTACACGAATAAATAAATTGTGCAACATTTGACGTGACCGACAATGATCATAAAAAATTCGCCATAATTTCTCATGTATTAGGCCACAAACCGTACGTTCATTCGGCTTTTTTTTCTTTAGGCAGACCACATTACAGAAGGCCATTGTGCCGGTTGTTAGAGCTATCATTTTTGATTGGTTGTTAGTTTACAGGGTAGTCTGCGCGATGTTTATGCACAACCTACGTCTTCCACTCTTACGGAAGTCTAGTTAGGATTGGGATCATGCTGCCGCTATGTGGATGATATCTTTGAGATTGCCACAGCAGAAACTGACGTAGATGCCCTTTTAAACGCTGTAAATCAGGCACAACCCTCTATTAAATTCTCGTTGGAGATCGAAACGACTGTTTCGCTCCCTTTCTTAGATGCTCTTCAAAGCAGGAAACCTGACGGGAGTGTCCGATGAAGTGTCAACCGGAAGAAAACCGGGCATGGACAATATACATACTTCGCTAGTTTCATAGCCCTACAAAAAAACGAAATCCTGTCCGATATTTGGCACAAACAGTTAGAAAAATTTGCTCAAGAGGAGAAACTTAGAAAAATGAAGGACTTCCTTCGTTAAAACGGGTATCCTGACAGGTTCATTGCAAAGAACATTGCCGAAAGACCGGTCAAACCCATCACACCGACCGCTGAAAAGAAAACTTTGCTCCTCAAAGTCCCTTTTCAAGGGGACGCTGCGAGTGAACTCCTAAAGAGACGCCTTGATCAAGCTGTTTTGCGAACCTTCCCAGCGGCTAGGGTTCACGTATCCTTCCCTACTAACCCTATTTTGCGCGGAGAAGGTAAGGATAAATTGGCACCCAAGACCACTTCAGTGTGCGTCTATTCCTTCACTTGCTCCTGTGGAGCAGGTTATATTGGTCGCACGAGTCGGCGCTTATCCAAGAGAATACCGGAACACCTCCCAGCATGACTGGGAAAAGGTGAAACCAGGAGCATAAGCAGCGCCGTTCTCGCGCATGCTGTCAATTCCGTACATCATGTAGACTCTAATGAAGCGTTTCGTGTAATCTACAAGGTTCCATCGAGCTATCCTAAACCGCTGGAACAGCGCCTGTTAGCAACAGCGGAGGCGGCCGCCATCAGCTTGCGAAAACCAATCTTGTGCGCACTGGAGAACCACGTTCAGGCTCCGCGCCTACAGTGGTCGAAGGTGGACAGTTCTGGCTGCTATTACCCCCCCCCCCCTACCTCTCCACATTCCACACCCGCCTGTGTTTTAATGCGAACTTTTATCGATTTCTCTTATCGCTAACATGTTCTTGCTTCTACCCGTTTCCATATGACTGTACTGGCCCGACGATGAGAATTTATTGAAAGCTACGTATGCTCGCCACCTTGTCTTCTGATTACTGCTATGCAAATTTCCGCAACACCAAAATTTTGGCTGCGTGTTATCTGTGGCACCGCCAACATCAGGCCAAGTCCGGATTTTTAAAACAAGACGGAATAATATCAGGATGATGGACTTATAGTAAACAGAAGTCTGAGATGCTGCCGGCGGCGACAGTGACCGGTGGCGAGGCCACGGTGAGTGCGAACGGCGGAAAGTAGCGCTGCGAAGAGGGGGAAAGTGAGACTGGGGTGTCAGCTGCTTCCGTAGCTTCACAGGCGCGCCCGGGCGTCTTTTGGCCAGGTGATATGGGTCGCATTACTCCGTGGGTGGTGCGTCTAGTGACCAAGGGGACGCTTGTTTATGCACGTCACCATCGTCTGTGACTGTTCGAATTTTCGCGTGTAAACTGAAGTAAGGTCAGCGTGTCTGAAACCGGCCGCAAGAGTGGTGGATGACCTTGACGCGGTCGGACAGTCAACAGAGACGTCGAGCATTGTAGTGATGGCTGTCAGTTTCAAGGCCGAAGAGCCTGATAGGTGGAAAGATCGACAGTTTAATCGCCGATCAGAGGTTTAGGACGCAGGTAGCTATCAATACTATTTATAACGACTCCCACAGGCAAGTTACAGTTAGTGACCTAACTCATGAAATGTGTCGAAATTTACGAATGATTGCCAATCACTCGCAAACCGACACTATTTCATGAGTCCGATTTCTATGTTAAATAAGTAAAAGTTTAAAAGAATTAAAAACATAAAAGAAATATTAAAGGCTGTGTTGCGTTGTTTATAAATGTTGATTTATTTTGAAAAGCGCAATGTCCCGAAAAGGTAAGAAATGGCTCTAATTAAGGAGAGTTCGTTTTTGGATGTAGAGAATGTATTCTCATACCAAAAACATAGTAAATATGGATGTAGACATAAAATAACGTCTCATGACAGTGTTTTGGTGAAGTTTACATCTAACTGTCGTTTAATAAGTACTGTGATTTCATATATGACTGTTTGTCAACTGCCCACATTCTGATTGTAGATTCCAAAACAGTTTTCCAGTGTTTCGTTTTTAATTTTATTTCTTTGATGTAAACGAGATGGTGTTCAACAAGAGAAGCTACATTTTGCTGGATTACACCGATGGGGACGTCGTTGGAACAAAAGTTTTCATAAGGTGACATGCCATGAGGCCGGTCGGTGCCTAATAAATTTAAATAGAACTGACAGGCGTGATCGTAAACACAATATTTTCTGTTTATAGGGAGAACTTTTCTTCTGTTAAATTAATTTACACTTCTTGTCCGATTTGGATTACGTTAAGTTTCAGATGGGTCTCGGAATATTGCTGAATACTTCATGATTTTCAGTGTTTTCACCCGATCTTCCATAAAGACAGATTCTGAATCACCTGTCTGTTGAACAGTCTAAAATAAGATTATTCTTGAAGGCATTTACCAAATCAGTGAGTGTTCGGGCGCTCCTATCCACGAATATGGTCGTTTGGGTCACATGTGAAGACTCAATCAAACATCAAACTTCATCTTCGAGAAAAATGTCTGTCCACAACAAAAGTCAGCGACGAATATGTCTTCGATAAATAAGAAAACTTTTCAATTTAACTTGCCTCTTTTAGAAGTGCTTTATTACTGCACTCAGTTGACGGATCTCTGTGTACTTGGCATTTTTGCTCAGCTAGCCCAAGTAAAAATTTGACACTTTTGGCCGTTTCTTTCACGTTCCTTAGAAATACGAATATTTTTCTACCGTGAACATATGTTTGCGGTCAATTTCATGTCGGGGACAGCGTTTCACGTCTTTAGACAGCCAGTTTGTGCATGCGTATTCGCGACCACAATCTTGATGCGGTCTAAACTGCGTAGTCAATGTGATCAGACAAACCTCAGCCACCTGCAATACGGAACCAGCGATAATAGGAGTTTTTACAGGTGGAACTGGGGAACGCACAGGCGACGAGGTCAAGTAGTATGCAAAGAAAAGCTTTTGGGAATGCGAGTTTGTACTTTGAATGGTTGCGAGATAGTCGTGTTAACCCCTAACATTAACCCTGCGCCCTAACTATAATCCTCTAATCCTAAGCCCTTACCCCTAACCCTAACCTTTAACCCTCACACCCAACCCCAACCCCTAACCCCTTACCATAACCCTTTACCCCAACCCCAGCAGTATTTTTTCCATCAGGTGGGGATACCAAACCCTATCTTACCGGTAATTTTGTCCTTGATCCATCTGACGCTTTTGAGTATGCTACCATTCAGCAATTTTGCCGACAGAGAATTTGGGAAAATTGTCGTCTTTCGCCTGTGGCGTCTTGTGCGTTGTGGGATGTGAGAAGGCCCTGATAAGGATCTCTTGTCCGCCATCTGCCGGTATGAATGAAGCCGGCAGTTGGTAAAGTCTCTCCTGCAAACATTTCGAAAGAATGGCTTACATTCATTCAGGTCATTTCAGTGGGTTTTCCCACACAACTGCGTTTGTGCACCACCGGATTGTTGCTGTGACAACACAGGATAGGTTCTGCATTTCTAGCCCCTTTCAGTGGGCTGCGGTGTGCGGTTCGAAATTTAATTTACGTGTGCAATGGGCGTCAGTGAAGGGAAACTGTTAGCTACCCTCTGTCGAACATGAACTGCTAATGTTTAGTCACGTTCGAAAGCCCGACTATGTCTGATGTGGTGTCCGCAGGCAGTTACCAGAAGGTTGCCTCTTATATCTCTTACGTAATGCAAGCTTCTCATATTGCTGATGACAGTCATATTTAGAAAGACTCCGGCAAACCATATTATTCGTCCTTGAACCGTTTATGTGGCAGAAAATCCCTAAGTGAATCTGGTACATTGGAGAATGTGGCATGAATTCTCCCTCTGACCTCTGTCGTGCGGTCACCGATTCCTTGAGCTAAGTTGAGCACCAACGAAATAGAAGTTGGGAATTGAAGTCTTCTCGGCCACTGCTGTAAGCCGGAACAAAAACGGCAACCAGCGCTTCTTTTTCGGTAAATCTTTCAGTATATGCTAACGTACGTCACCACTTGGGGAAGCCTTAAAGCATAGTTCGCCTCAATCGAAATTGAAATTTATGAGGTAATCGCATGACCTGTAGGAGTAAAGTAAACTCTCCGGCTGCTATTTCAAGTGGATTCATAAGAAAAGCTCTGGAGATCTTGGATGCCACCGTGATACAAGCGGACTGAGTTATGGGTTTTCAGTTCCCCAGAGTGAGTCAGTGAACTCTGGCTTGCAATTTGTCATAGTCGAATTATTGGCCTCAGCAATTTTGAAAGAGCGAACTTTGGGAGATTCCGCAATGTTGGCGCCATTGGTAAGAGCCGGGGAAGTGAGTGAATTCGACGAACCTGCAATTGTTGGCTCAACTCGTGAGATGTTGATCAAAGTCCCGGAATGTGGTCTCGATTAGGAAGGATTACTTAAGTGTGGTTGTGATATTGATTATTATGTAGCATAATTTCAAGATATTACAGTTACGACAGAATGCCAGTCTCTGAATGAGCTTCTTCCTGACTGTCTACAGAAAGTACAGTCGGTAAAAAGTATTAACTTAGGTAGCATAAATCTTCCTATTGAATTTCAATGCTCATTAGCCTTCTTGTACTTATCCGCAGCAACTTGCGTTTATTTCAAATTTTATATTTGGAGAAAAAGTATATTTCGATTTTAAATGTTCACACTTATGAGATCTTTGAGGAGGTGAGATGTTCTTTCATACGGTATCGTATTTGTTTGTCCATTAATGCCGTTTATGAAGCATACAACGGCTCACATCATTGCACATGCTTGAGCCCCGTATGGTATCGTCTTAATGGTGCATAGAAATATAAGATCTCCCGCATACGGAAAGTACTCATCACTAGCTTGGGATCTCTAATCGTCGGCTTATCTGCAGACTAGGTTGAAAATTATTTGAAAGTTAAAAAATTCTTGGAAGCCAATAGACGCTCTTTCTTCAGATTTGAGGTTAGAAGAGGACGTAACTTCTGGCAAGTGAGTATAAAAAGAATATAGTGAACTCGCCCAAACAATCCTTTCCAATCGAAAATCTGTTTCAGATTTCGGTCAACGTTTAATAAGATTCACCAGCTACCGTATCATTGAACTCCCTGCCAAAGGAAACCGGCTTAAGCCCTGGACGAGAGTAGTGGGCGGTCTTTCTCGGGAGGACACATTCGCTAAAACGTGAGGTTTGTCGGTCTGACGTTTCGGATCCTTGTTCAGACAAGTCATCAGGGACAGTCTGTTCTATAACCCTACCTGCACTAGGTGGGCTAAATCAAGAAATATCGACGTAAATTCTGATATGCGTTTTCGTTTCGAAAAAATTGATTAATTAGTTTTATAAAACTAATCTTCGTGCAGCATAATACCGTGAAATTTAGTTGCCTTAAGATGCCGGCTATCAAATGGGCATCTTTTTGTCTATATGCAAAATCTCACTTTGTGGAAAATGACTACGTAAGTAGCATAGTGTTTCCCATTGATTTTCGATACCCTTAAAACTTCAATTATATTTCATAAAAAACATGCACACAATATACATTCTTTTACTCATTCGGTAGCAAGTTACGTCTACTTTTAACTCTACTAGAGGAAAGTATATAATTCGGTTTTTAAAAAACTCTTTCAATTTCTGAATGACTTCACACTCGGCCTGCCGTTACACTTGCATTCAGGCTTTCCAAACTACAAGGCGTATATTTTTCGTGTACGGGAAACCATACATTCCTCTACTGTACTAAGAGGAGACTATATGAGGTTCATAAAACGTAGCAGTGGATTTGAGCAAAAATGTTAACTTAATTAGCCACATTGGTAAATGCAGAGACATGAAGTTTTATGAACAGCCATCTAACGGTATTAAATATCTCGCAATAAGAAACATTCTGAAAACCCAACTACAGCCTTCCTACGAGCATAAAATTTGGACATGACGTAATTTTCTACCGAATGCGCGGAAGAATGAATATTTTTATAAGTTTTTAATGAAATATTATAGAATTTTTAAGGGCATCGAAAACAAATAAGAAAAATGCATGCCAATCAGGTAATCATTTTTTACACAGTAAAGTTTTGGGCATGCAGCCGAAAGGGAATTCCATCGAAAGCCGGCATCCTGAGGTGACTGAATTATTATAGAATTACCTGCACGATGAGTAGTTTTACAGCTATACTTAATTCGTCTTTTCGAAACGAAAACACATTTCGGAATTTCGGTTGACATTTCTTGAGTTAGCCCACATACTGTAAGTAAACTTTTCTAATCGAAAATGCCTGAGATAGGCTAGCTACTGTGTCTCTCAGCTCCCTGCTGACGGAAGCTGACTTGACCTCTGGACGATGGGAGTATGCAGTCTGCTTTGTTCGATGAAAACGTCAAAACAGGCAGCTGACTCACCTTTTGCCCAATGACAATGTTTAGACGGCCTGAGTTAAGCGTGCGCCCGGCGGTTGACGGTTTGACCCCCCCCACACACGCACAAGAATTTCGCATAAAAAGAGACATGGATCCCATGCTTGTGTGAATGCCATTGAGGATGCATTACGAAGGAGCCACAGAGCGTCACTCCCAACCCTCGAAGCAGTTATCCCGTAGTACACAGTACTGACTGCAAGGACCAAGACCTCCAGTCGATTGGTCACGGTTTTCAGGGCGTCATGGGAGCTTCTAAGGTCGTCAGATATATTACTAGTGAAGAATGCGCCGAAGCGAGAATGAGACGGCTTGGATCCCATCTGACCTGGAGTTTCATACAGGTGGCATTCGGATAAAGGCATTGTGACTTGACTCCTCCTCTCAACAGCACCAGCTTATCTCATCGGCAGACGATTGTTAACGCGTTGTTATGATTAAAAGGTTGTCAGCCTGCTCATAATGATGAATATACCGAAGGTTCGTGGAAACGATGTCCTTTCTGTCGACCCCAGTACCACGCACCAGCCCGGACGGTAGTTTCGTGACGGGATTGATTCATATGACCGGCGCGATATGAAATCTGCGCCTCGGCGTGCCAAAACACCTCCGCATGGGCGCCGGACCTGTCCAGTAGTGCTGCAATCTGGTTCACGTTTTGGTCCACCCTATCTCCAGCGTGATCAATGCTGAGGGCCCTAGTGGCAGAAAGAAAAACACGCAAAAACTCGATGGTATGCATTAAGTATATGCGCGGGACAAGGAAAACCCACGAGGAAATACTTACTATATTTCCCAAAGTAGGTGTTTTTCGGTAGACTTTTGATCGGCACCTTGTGGGCCTTGAGCACCGCGTGTTTGTCATTTCGCTGCCGTCTGTGTGAGGGATGGGAAAAAAGCAAAACGCAAGCAATCTCAAGCACTCTGATGCAAAACATCTTGGACTTGTAGGACCTCTTTCTATCTGGTGGGGTTGTATGTCGGATTAGTTTCAGTCCAATTTTTTGCTTGATTCAGACAGCTGCAAGTCGACAGAACGCAGACACCTACGCGCTTGCTTAATATGGGTCGTGAATTCTCCATTCTGCTTGCAAATCTGACGCATTAATGGCAGGATATTAGTCCTGCGCAAGGATGTGAACGTGCTTTTTCGGCTGAACGCTCCACTTCAAAGCCGCACGCAAGGGCGATAAGCGAGATGTCTTCAGTCTTCCCCACTCATAAATCCACACGCTCTAGCAGACGTACAGTTAAGAATAGTCTGATTAGGAACTACAAAACGACGGCACATAAACTTATTCAGCCCGGTACATCCGCTCTGGCCTGCGCAACTTCAGCCTCATGGCCTCCTGCAGGCGAGACTTGTTTTGATAAGTGGCAACCAAGCGTGTTATTGTCAAAACCGCCGACCATTTTTTTGTAGTTAACAAAAGGACATTCGCAGAAAACCCTAGATGCACCGCAGTATCTGAGGGACTGGGCGTCAATAAGCCTGTGCCTTTTTAGGTAGCAAGTTCTAGTGGGCTGAGCAACATGAAAGTCTACAGCGCGCGTCCGTGGTCCGATTTTAAAATTTCCCAGAAAAAATCGCAATACAATTCGCCAAACCTGGACTTGATGAGGTGAAAGCACTAAGACTGGACCAACGACAAGGTCCCTCCTAAAAAGAAGATTAAATAACAAAGGAACAGAAAGGAACGCTGTTCACCATAGCCAGTTCTTGAGAATTCGCCGAACACACAGAGGCCAGCATTCTAGGACTCCCCGCAAGTGAACAAATGCCATCTACCCTTGCTATATTGGGTGCTGTCAGCAGACCTCATCGTGTTTATTGTAGTGCTCACCCCAGCAGGCGTAGAGGTGTGTCAAAGGGACCCCACGGTCTATTGGAGGTGTCTACTAGGGGTGAGACATGAACAAAGGATACTAAACCGTCAGTTTCCATGCAGACCTGCTTTCCGAACATTTGGCGCCGGTCCCTGTCGACTTGCCTCCTGCGCGGATGTTGGATCTGATCGTCCGGTCGTACAGGCTACTAAGTTCGCCAGATTGCTTGTTATTATCGACAGTGATCTTTAGATTTCAAATACAGTTCTTACGAGCACTGCATATCCTGGGAATCAGTAATAAAGTTTGAAAATGTAATGTTGGCCAGTAAAGATCACTAAGATTGAACCGCAGTACGAAGTGCCATGCTAAAAATCCCAGGATGTTTCAGGGACGCCAGAAAGATAGCTTCTGATTGCACGTCTTTATGACCACTGGCAATAATACTACAGTACGTATGCTAACTCGCGAAATGTTAACCGAAATTCTGAAATGCGTTTTCGACTCAAGAATATTACTTAAGTGGGGATGTTATATTAATCACTGTGCAGCATACTCCCATGATAAGCCAGGATGCCAACTGTTGAACGAGCTTCCGTCCGGCCACTTTCGATGACCACACACTACAAAAAATGATTGCATAAGTAGTTTTAATTTTTCGTTTATTTCCGACGCCCTCATAAATCTAAATATCTTTTAAAAAAAATGAACAAAAATATTCGTGCTTTTACTTCTTTAGTAAGAAAGAACGTCTCATTCAAATTTACTGCCTAAAGGGTCGGTACAGTTCAGTTTCAAAAATTTTTCCAATTCCCAAATAAATTTGGACCCGACATACCGTTACACTTGCGTTCAGAGTTTCCAAAATGCAGGCCGTACATTTTCTGTGTACGAAAATCATATATTTGCATGTGGCAGTAAAATGAGGTTATATGGAGTTCATAAAATTCAGCAGGGGAGTCGAGTCATATTTAAGACTTAACAGGCAACACTAGTAAATGCAAAGACACAATGTTTTATAAATGGGTATTTCACAATTTTAAAAATCTCATAAGTAAAACCTTTTTTAAAAATTATACCCTTCCTGCAGGCATTAAATTTGAAGAAAACGTATTTCTTCATAAGTACTTCTATCAATGTTTTCTACGAAATATTGTTTAATTCATTAAGGCATCGAAATTAGATGAATGAAACCTAATACTACTTACGCAGTTATTATTTGCAGGTGGGTAACAAAGGCTCGCTCAAAAACCGGCGATTAGTGGTACAGCCCTACTTAGGCAATATTTTGAAGTCAAAAACGCATTCCATGTGTTAGCACATGTACCGTGTATAGTGTAAATGACTAACCGGACAGTATGAAATGTGTATTTCCAGGCTTTTTTTCCAACGAAAGGACGTCCTCCGGCTTTTATTGAAAAACCGTTTATTTTCATTCCAGAATGATTTTAGTCCCATCTGCTATGGCATTTGTATCTACAACTTGCAATCTTCGGGCTGCGTGTTTTTGTTCTGATGAATCTTACATTTTTCCATGCTTTTAAGAAAGTATTATATAGGGTTCATAAAAATTTGCCAAAGATGTGCAGCAGAGAACCCTTATAATTGGATAAAAATAATGCTGTTTCAATAGACCTACATGGTTATACACAGTGTTTTCGGAGAAACAATTATAGAAAAGACACAAGATACTAAAAATTCACGCAAAAGTAGTATATTGCGCATGCTTTCTGTAAAATCTTCTTTTATGGATAGTGAAGGAATCGAGTATCAATAATAAAAAGCGAGTCACCTATGGCCTTATCTTCTGCAAGTGGATTTTTTTCGTTGGTAGCAGGAACGACGTGTATTAAAGAGACGACATTCCAACGTGACTGAAGGATTCTGGGACTAGGTTGCATGTTACACAATATTACAACCGCGTATAATTGTTCCTTTATAAGTAAGGTCATAGTTCAGAATTTAGCACACCCTTCATGCAAAACGTCTCGTATGGTCAACATGATAATTTTTAAAGAGAGGAAAGGCATCATACAGTTTTTGTACAATAAACTCTAGGTGGCCTTCGAAAATATGTGAAAACTAAAATCGTTTTCCTAACCATTGGGCATCGTTCCTGCAAAACGTAGAATTTGAATAGGACGTACAGTCTTCACAACCGCGTGTTGGAAATGCGTTGTTAAGGCAAATTCCATTAGAAATATGATAAGGTATATGTAAACATTTAAAAAACAGCAAACCATGTGCTGACCTCGAATTATTTGCACAAGTGGCTAGAAAGTTATAAGTCCAGGAATACAAGTGCCGACAGATTTGAAAACCCGGTACTATGTTTCATGCTAATCAGTGATTCCATCGCGCTTGTTTGATGTTTGCTGTTCAGAAGTAGAAGCAAAGATGGCGATCAGTATTTCGTGGGCTTGTGTGAATTCCGTATGAAATATGGCATCGGTGTTTTCAGGTCACATCAGGAGAATTTTAGATTCAAAACAGGAGATTGTGAAAACGAGCATGTGATAGTGGCGGTCCTGTGAATGTAGATCAAAAAACGGCGGGGATTATACAAGATGCACCAGATCCTTACGTCGCCTTTTATATATGGGTAAAATAACCATATCGTTTTATTTTCAGTAATGCAAATAAAAATATAAGTTAACGAATGGAGTGCGTTCTTTTTATTCCCTCCTTGAGGTCGGGCAGGGAAATTGTGAAAGTTTGCAGAGCTGGGAAAGATTTGTTTGACAGTCTTAATCACCACACTCATAAATAGAGATAATTTGATGAGGATGATTACTGCATGCGTTTCCCAACGGTGCTGTGAAAATAAACAGCCAGACCCCGAGAGAGGCAGCGATTCAGAGACGTTTGGTCCTGTTGCATGGCATCGCTTGAACGGCTACTTCTGAACCAAAGTTCGGCTTGACCTGTCGACCGAAGCGAGAGACCACGTCCTCTGCCGTGATGCCAAAATCTGTTACAAGTGATCATAATATTCCGAGTATTCCACCGAGACCCGACAGAATAAATCGTGTGTGATGCTGGGCAGCACAGAGGAGACTTTTGCCGAGATGACAAGAAGGCAGAGCCACTTAATTATTAATGCAATGTAAGTTTATTTAACTCGCAACCTGCCAGTGTTTCTAAATATTTTTGTTACTGAGTACATACAGCATGTGATTTACCTCATGAAATGTTAACCGAAATTCTGAAATCCGTTTTCAGTTAAGCAGGATTATTTGAGTAGGGTTGTATTATTAATTATCATGCAGCGAGACACCGAGATTGTTCACTGATATCAGAATGTCACTTTTGGAATGGACTCAAATTCAGCCGCCCGTAATAACCAAACTCAGCAGGAAATAACTACTAAAGTACGGGGGTTTTAGTGCTCAACTATATTCCAAAATAAAAATGTAGCCTATGTACAAATTTATTCTTTCTTGGAACCATTTAGTAGAAAATTGCGTTCCCTTTAACTTTTATACTCGAAGGAATGAAAATTTTGGGCCGTAGAAAATTTATTTAATTTTCCCATAATCTTTAACCCGATCTGCCAACGCACTTTAAGTTTCCAAACTGCGCGTCATATATGTTCCCTCGGGAAAACACATAAGTTCCTCTACGCCATTAACAATGCAGCAAATAGGGCTCATGACGTTTCACAATGAACACGAACCACGATAGAGTTTTCATAAGCATCATCAATAAACAGACGGATACAATACTGTGTGGACGGATATTTCATGATCTTAAAAATCTCTTAACAAAAGTTTTGTTAACCAAAAGATACCTTTCTTCAAGCATGCGATTCGGAGAAAAACGTAATTTTCCTCCAAAGGAGTACAAGAAATATTGTTTATCTTATCTTGAAATATTATAAACTATTAAAAGTAAGTGGAAAAAGTGCGTGGTACCTAAATATTAACTTGTCGCAGATTATAGATTATGCAGGCAGACGAACGGAAACATACTCAGGAGCCGACACACAGTAGTGACTGAAATATCTTTGGATTTTACTATGCGATAATCGATATTGCAACCTCACCTATGTAATACGTTTTACCCAAAAACATGTTTCAGAAATTTCGTTTAAATTTTATGAGATAGGCTA